CACACACACACACACACACACACACACACACACACACACACGGAATTAAACACCTCGAGCACAAAACCAGTTGTGCTGCAGTGAGCTCTGTACCATCTCTCCTCTCTTTAGTACAACTGTGATGATGATGCATGAGATTTGTACCTACAGCACCACATCTGTAGAGCTTCCGATACTTGTAGTGCATTGTGGGAAATGCAGTCTGTACGAGTTGTTTTTGTTTATCTTTTTGGCTGGTTTGCTGCAGAAACAGTATTAGGCCTCTCCAGAGACGTAGTGTTCCTTAAAACAGTCGAGTATCTCCTCTGCTGTTCGCTCCTCTGGCATAGTAACGTGTTTTTATGCATCATAAGTACAGTGAGACGTCTTCACTTCGGTTTAGAAAAATAAACAGGGCTCAGAGAACAGGAAGTGAAGTGTGTGTGTGTTGTAGGGAGGGGTGTCTCTGCCCAGACTTTCTAGGGGTGTTGCATTTTTTAAAAACCCAGATACTTTATTTATTTTGTCACCGTCTCTGGTTTAAGGCAGTTCAGTGGGAGCTGAGGGGTCGACATCATTGCGTCCTCTGCCGCACCTGTGAGTGCAAAGAATCATGGGTATAGAGGGTTTGTGGCGAGCCTGGGCTTGACAAGTTTTCTGCGACGCTCCGTCACTCCCTCTGTGAGCCGCTGCTGTGTGTCAGGGCGTGGGCCTCGTGGTCACTTCCTGGACTGACGTTGGTGAAAAGCTTGTTGAACTTGAGCAGCTGCTTGCTGGCCGTCTGGCTCTCCTCCTGCAGGCGCTGGTTGTTCTCTCTCAGGTTCGCCATCTCTGCCAGCAGGGCCGCTTTATCCTGCTTCTCCTGATGGTGGAGAAACAGGAAAATGAGAAAAGACGGCATAAATACTGTCTGATTCATTCAGTACGCATTTCCTGCTGCGTTACTGCTCATAATGTTGGTTCCAAAAGTTTTAAGTATGTTTTTTTTAAACACACAAGCTGTCTCACCTTTTCTAGATCGTTGTTCAGCTGTTGTAACATCAGTTCTAGTTGGTAGAGTTTACTTGTCAAATTGTTGGGCACCTCATCGCTGTAAACACAAACAGCACATGTTCTTTAGACTTAGATAATTCCAACCTTGTTTAAACTCTTCACTTTCAATAATTATGTTTGCGTATCACAGACAGAAACTCTCCTAAAACAAGTTTATTAAAAACAGAGAGGAGTCAGTTAAACACTGAGTGCAGGAAACGACCACAAGGTGGCAGCACTGAGATGTTTTAATTATAAGTTCAGCCTGTTTCAGTTTTCTAATGGAGTCGGACCCACCTGCTGATCGTTGGTGTGGTCCGTGGTGTCTGAGGAGTCTGAAACTGGACCGGACTGCTAACTGGTCTCGTTTCGGGACCTCCGGGCTGCGGCTCGGTCAGTGATAGGAGAGAAACAGCTCTTTGTGCTGCAGCAAAGACAGGATCAAACGTTCAAAAAGCTGCACAGAACAAACATTTTTACACACAACACGGTGCTACTGAGCTGTTTGGTTGTAGCAGGTGGAGAGTTCAGGCTGCGAGGGACTCGAGGATGGGTGATAAATCTCCTCACCTTCGTAAGCTTTAGCAGCATTAACCAGGCTGGACCACTCCAGTCCACAGGCGGTGTCAGGGAGGGGCATCAGCCCAGGATCCAGTCTCTTCAAGGGGGGAACTTTGTCTTTTACTTCTGTAAGGGACAACTCTGATGAAGACAGCGGCACTGAGGATAAAACGAGAGGAAATAAGTGTATGAAAAAACAAAAACTCTGCAAAAGTCTTTGTAACACTCACTCTTTTTGCCCTGCGAGTGGTTGGAGGAGCTCGAGTGTTTGCGTGTGGGCAGCGTGCAGGTGAACAGCACGTCGCCGGGGGTCGTTTGGCTCTCGGAGCAGGCGAAGCCGGCGTCTCTGCGCCCGCTGCACAGAGACTCATCAGAAAAAGTGCGTTGCAAGGTGTGTCTGGGAGACTGCGGGGAGGAAGAGAGAGGTCAGAGCTGGACAGAAAAACTGTTAACGATAACGCACGCTGGAGCACGCTCCTCACCGGATCGCCCTGCAGCATCTCTCCAGGGCCGTCCATGATGATCAGCTTCTTCAGGTCGTCTTCCACGGTGCTCTTATATGTCCGGCGTGGAGAACGCAGGTCCCTCAGTGACGCTCTGAGCCGAGGTTGTCCAAACACGTTTTTGGAGTTTGTATCCACCTGCCTGCTGAGACAAGACTTAAGTCGGTTTATGGATCATCACTACAAAAAGCTCAGTTAAACAGGTGAGTTAGGCACATTGGTTACATTTACACGGAAAACATCTTAGCATTTAGTTGGAATCAGTTTTACTTTGTTAAAGATTTGAAAATGATCAAATCTGAACAAACATCTTACTTCTTGCTGCTGCTGCTGTCGGAGGAGAAAGGTTTTGTGTTCGAGTGTGACGAGGTGCCATCTTCTGTTGGCCGGGCTGCTGGTTTGCCTTTTCTGTAAAATGTCTTGGGGGCAGAGCTGGATAAAGGGGCGGAGTTCATTTGAGATGAAGTGGGCGTGGTCGTAGAAGCTCGGACAGGCCGAGCTTTCTCTGAAGTGGGAGTCTTGTAACCCTGTGGTGTGTACGCCCTTTTAAAGACACAGATCGATGAAGAATCATTAAAACAAAATCATCATTTTAACAGAAACTGATCAGACAGAAATTTCTATTCAGTTTCAGCCAATAAAGATCCCGTTTATTTTTTATAAAATGAAACAAAAAAGATTAGAATTAGAACGAGATGTGATTTGTTTTACTACAACTACAGTTAGCTGCAGAAAGCAAAGCAAAGTCTTTATATGGCTGTAGAATTAGGGTTGGTGACATTAAACACAGATTGCTTTAATCCAACATCAGGCGTGCGTGTGTGTGTGTGTGTGTGTGTGTGTGTGTGTGTGTGTGTGTGTGTGTGTGTGTGTGTGTGTGTGTGTGTGTGNTGTGTGTGTGTGTGTGTGTGTGTGTGTGTGTGTGTGTAGGCGTTTAAATTGCAGGGTTCCCACAATAATCTGTATGTTTCACAGGGATTATGAAGTAATGCCTTGTGCACTCCTAAAACATATCTTTGTGTTTTTTAAAGAATCAAAGAAACACAAGAGGTGGCACTGAAAGTTGCAGATATGAGAAAACTCTTGAGACTCCACGTTTAGATAAAAATCAGCACTTATCTGTCCTGTCAATGTAACGATAGCTTTCTGAAACAGAAATGTGTCTCGTTGGAGTCTTACCTTGGTTTGAAAGGATCTTTTTTCTCAGCACTCGAACCAGGAAGTGGGAACGTCTTTGTCATGTATCCTTTGCTCTGATTGGCAGCAGCTGGTAAAACGGGGGAAGATTCTCGTCTCTTTGTTTCGCCGTCGCCGCTGCTCCTCCCCACAGACAGCTCTGGGGTGACGCTGTAGGCTGCGGAGCCATGCACGAGGATGTGGGGCTGGCTGCTGGACATGTTCCCGTGGCGAGAGTTGCTGTAGGGAGTGGAGGCGTCGATGCCGCTGTCGTTGGAGCCTCCTTTGTTGAGGAGGTCGGGGTTGGGATCCACGAGGTCGACCCCTCGCTCTCCCGCGGGCCCCCCGTCGAACCAGCGCTCGTCGCTGTGGCTGCTGGACGCGTTGCTGGACAGAGTGTTGCTGCTGGAGTGGCTGGAGTACTGAGTCTCACCCTGTGGGGCACACAAGAACATCAGACAGATGGACCCGGTCAGCGAGGCAGAGTGGGTTATGGATAAACAAATAAAACAGACGGACGATGAGGCCGACCTTCGAGTGTCTGTTCGGTGAGTCTTTCCCCGGGACATCCTGTCTGTTTAGTCTCCTCTGCCCCCCTCCGCCACCTGGTCCTCGAGATGATGATGATGCTGGGACATGCCAGAGAGGTTCTAGACAGAAAGCACGCACACACGGGATTAAATAAATTACACTCATGGTTGCAAAAGAGGATTAAATACTTATAGCACATTTAAACACAGACCTCCTCTTTGCACGAAATCTCACTCAAAAATCTTTATTCTATAAGACAAACCAACCTGAAAGGTTCAATCAACCTCAAATCTTGCAAATGATAAACTTTGCAGGATATACAGTGAAAATATTAACAAACAGCAGATATGGAGCTACAGAATGATTATGTTGTTATTCTCTGGTGTATAAATGGATCAATTTACCTGCAGGTTTCAATCATCCTATCGTGTGAATGATTTTAAAGCCTTCAAACAACTGAGATTCATTTTTCTTCCATGTTTTTCAGCATGTTCTGCAATTTCAGTACTGTTTTAACAATTTAAATACTAAAATGATCAGCTCCTTCAAGACATTCCTGCTGTGACTCTTTTACTTCAGCAAATTAATACTCTTATTTAGCCTAGGCATATTTGTCTTTTTCTGCCATGTTTTTATCATTGAAAATGAATGAAGCTGTCTTTAATATGCTTAAAATCCTATTAAAATGTTTATTGTACTTTTTACGTTTTGTTCCAGTTCTGCTTTTTTTTTTATCTTCATTGGACTAATTTCAGCTTCCTTCAGCTTCTATTTTGCTGATTTTAGATTTTTTTTCCAGCTTTTTAAGTCATCATTCTGGCCTTTGCTGCTATTCTTCTGCTAACTAAATCTTTGTGTGCTTCTTTCATTAAATTCCTGTTGATGTACCTGTTTTGCTGCGTTCCATGGTGCTTTCTTGACTGGTGAAGCCTGAAGACTCTCCACTGGAGAAGATATCCACACTGAGGAGGGGTTCGTAGGACAGCAGAGGGCGCTGCACTGATCCAAATCTGTATATATGACGTGTGTGATTAATGAAAATATTCACATAGGGCTGCACTATATCAGGAAAACCTGTGATGTGTAATAACAGTGCTTACAACTAAACAACTAATCCATCATTTCCATTCTAACATGATGGTTTTATTTTTAAAAAGTGCAACTACACACAGCTGCTGTATTATCAGTAAAACAAACTGCATGCGGTACAGTTTCTTAATGACTTTAAAAAATCGCTCCATGAAACATTTTCTGATACTCTAAACACTGAAAAATGCCCCTTACCTTCAGTTTTCTAAATAAATAATAAAAGCATGTGAAAATAAGTTAAAGATCTTTAAATAAAAATGAACAAATCTAAATCTAACTGCAAATTATCTCCACTCACCAAGTGGTTATGATTGCAAACATTTGAGCAAACCATTTATTGTAGTTGACAGTTTTTTGAGATGTGCTTATTGCACTGGCTGTTATCATGATATATTGTGCAGCCCTATATTCATACATACATATGCACATTATTACAACAAAAAATGTTTGGACAGGAAGATTCTTATACATCAGTGAAGAAAGTTAGCCTGTTTAGATTTGATTACTGGAGGAGATTTTTAGTTTCTGTTCTGCATCCTGTTGGCAGTTAAATGAACACGTTTTTCTGGTTGGGTGAGATGTTATCAACCTCCACACTGCGAGGAAGAGCCACCCACACAACAGATCCTTTCTCTGGGAGACGGTGTGTTTGCACATCTCTCGCTGCAGACTCGAACGCGCCACRTTATCCATCATCTCACTTAAACCGACAAAATCCGCCTCTGGCACAATAATCAGTTGTTATGAGTAACGTTTGGCATGTTGAGTCAAGAACCGCGAGGTGACGGAGGAGACCGCAGAGGAGCCTCACCTGTCGGGCGAAGGCTTGTAGCGTACAAAGGGACCGGGCGTCATTCCAGGTGACCCGACGGTGGCGAGGCCCACCAGGCCTGAGGAGGGGGAGGAGACGCTGGCTGAGGGGTTTCTGTACACCACGCCTCTGTCGCCTCCTGCAGGGGAAAAGCTGTAGTGGTTCTCAGGGTAACTCACTGGCCTGGAGGAAAACAGTGGGCAGGTGCTTAAACTGTTTGTAGAGAACGAATGCATCTGAATAAAATTGGCACAGAAAAAAAGAGGCAGAAATAAGTGAGAACAGCCTTGTTCGAAGTGGGCACTGTGACACCAGCTCCAAGTACATGAGATTTAAATACACAAATCACAGTAAAGAACACCTACTTAGTTGTAAACTGTCAAGGGTTTGCTCAGAACCGTGTCTCTTTCAGGCGGATGTGCAAACTGTCCAACTGGTTGTTACCATAAATACATGTTTTCATCTGTTATTTGTTTAGGTTTGACAGGAAGAGTCAGTGTCACCTTATTACATGAGTTAGCCTGAACATGTCTATTCAAACACAACTGCTTTTAAAATAACTGTGTCAAATATTTAGTGAAAAGGATTCAAGTGAAACATGCATCACTTGATGACATAACTTAGTTTTCCTCTCAATGAATTTGTAACGATATCAGTATAATAACTGATAACCACGTAAGAAACACAACATAAGTAAAAACAGAAAAAAGTTGTGGCAACCCTGGAAACAAAGCAGCGTTCAGACATCTGTTATGAGATATGAGCTAATTCAAAAATTAACTCTAAAAAAACACCTCGCAATGTTTTCTTTAGTTTAGTTTATTCATTCATTTTTATAAAAAAACAACATATTCTTTATACAATAAATATACAATATTTTTATACAATAATTTTCTAAAAGCTTTTCATTGTCTGCACAGCATAAAACAATATCAGCATGTAATCTCTGTCATTTAACTGTATTCAGACTAATTTAGTTTTTTAATATTACTACAGGATTAATTAGGAAGGGCAGTAAAATCACATCACTACGCCCATATTTTTATTTGTCGTTTTCTGCCAAGATGTTTAGGTTTGTCCTGCGACTATAAATATCAGGTAAGCGCAGTATTTGTAGTGTTTTTCCTGTAATCTAGAGATAGCAGATAGTGAGATTACCTCTTGGGGACGAGGTGCTGTGGTTCTCTGTAGGGAGCTGGCATCATGGTTTTGGGTTTGCGGAATATTGGAGGAGGTGGGGCGACCACGGGGGGCCAGTGTGGCTGGATGGGAGCGCTGTGGAGGCCTGGAGGAATGGGCGAGCTTTCCCATCTCCAGGTTTGACGAGGGGAGGGCCGATATCCTGCTGCCAGGGGCTCGGGCTTCTGCTCCATGGTCTTCATTTCATACTCCTCTGTGCACCCCCTAACGAGAGGACGAGAAGTACAGAAAACATTTTAAACTTCAATCCTGACAATCTGTGGCCTTTCTACAGTGTGTACTCAGTCCAGTTCATGAAAACGGCTTGATAAATTCTTTACGAATGGTTGGAATACTTTGTTAGTTTTGAAACACATTTTCTTGGTGCTCAAATGTACAGCAGACATGTTACAGATCTCACTGAATTCTCTTGAGACCAATGGATAAAAAACGGAGAACAGGAAACTGATTATTGGCACATCAAGACTCCATCTTACTCGCTGTGAGACCGAGGTCCAACCTCTGAGCCATGTGTGAAAGCAAGAGTTAGAGATTTTTACATCTCAAACAGCTCTTTACACAAAATAACTGCTTCAAATGAAGACACGTCTTGACTTCTTGAACAACAATCATTCCTTTAAACTCTCAAACAGAAGAACTACGACGTCAGATGATGGAGAAAGCCTTTAAATGAAGCTGACATTTATTCTCATCAATTATAGAACTGATTGCAAAGCTTCCAGCTGGAGGGGCGGGGATCTTATCAACACAAGACTCAAAACCAACACACCTAAAATCTTTTTATAGTAGCCTCTGACATCCATGTTTCATCCACAACTCTATAACATGAGGGCTGGCATTAAATATGCAGATGAGGTGGAATTTCAAATGAGACAAAGGGAAATGAGCCAGGTGATGAAGTGTTAAAGTAAAACTGAAATTTCTACAGAGGCAGAACAAAGATTTTTAAAAAAGTGGCACGACAAAGTGACAGATGAGAGCAGCGTAATGGGTCAGCAATTACCTGTAGATAGAGATTTTACTCTTCTACATTAGGAGAATCCAGGATAAAGAGTTTATTTGTCTACAGTGAATGAATTTGAATTATTATTCATTGACTCTAATTGTTTCTCACTGTTGCTCGATGGTTAAATCATTAAACAGACTGAATATCTGAGTGAAAACGTGTGAACATATTATAGCTTGCTTTGAGAAATTATCCAGGGCGTTTCACATTTTGTAGACAAAGAAAAACAGCTCAGCTCAGTAAAATAAAAAGCCTTCGACTCAACAAAGAGACAACTGTTGGCTGCTGCTCTGCAGGAATGTAAACAGAACACAGATGGACAAAAAAACAGACGAGTACCAATAAACAATTTGGGGAAAACCGCAGATTTTCAGGGGAAAAAGGGAAGACAATGGTTGCTGTACCCGGATGTAACGTGTGATAAAGGTACTTTAATCAATGCAGGAACACTTCTGAGACAATCAATACCAACAGCAGTACATACGTGCATGTAGAGAATACAAACCTCAGAGAGAGCTGAGCCTACGTCTGACAGCACGCAGTAATTCTCCCATCACATTAACCGAGACGACAACTGAAGCTACACACACACGCACACACTCAGAGCCACATCTCATTCCGCCTGTATCCATCCATCTTGTGTTTTCACAGCCAGACAAAGCAGCAAAGGCAGATCCGTCCAACTTTCATCTCATCTTTTTTTCTCCTCCGCCCACTCCTCTTACTCCGGGTGCTGTTGAAACACGTCCTCCCTCATCCAGAGCTCCTCCCAGCCTTTCTCTCTTTCTCTCTCCTCAACCACACGGCCCCTCCCCCCCTCCTTACTATTTGCACGGGGCGTGCATTTTTAATTAATCACTTCCACTACGTTTTATTTATTTATTTCTCTCTTCTCCCCCGCCCCATGCAGATTTCAAGCTTTAATCTCATGCAATCTGCTCGTCTGGTGCACAACAGCTAACGAGTCAGAGAGGAAGAGCGAAATGCAAGACTCTTAATTATCAGCTGCTTCAAGGCCACAGCGGTGTGTGTGTGTGTGTGAGAGAGAGAGAGAAAGAGGAAGGGGTTTTACTTACAGTAATTAAACTGCCTTCAACATTAAAGGAATCTAAGCACGGTGTGATCACACAGCTCACCACAATTATGGTCTTTAGGAGCTCTGATGCTCAGAAAAACACAACGTGCCTATTTTTTTCCCCCACATGAATAACCGTTCTGCGATACCACATAAAGCTGCTTTAATCTGTCTCACCAAACACCTCATGTAGATAGAAAAGAGCAGCAGCTGAGATTGTTGGTGAGAACAAAGCAAGATTAAGACATAGATTGCTTTAATTTTTATGTTTCTAATTTGAATAATTTTATTTGATCACATCAAAAGAACAGTTCTAACAAAGAAATTAAACTGTACACGACTAAAAGGAAAAAGGTAGAAGTGAATGACTTATTGTGCCTCCCCTTTATGGAGTCCCCAAAATGCATAAAAACCCCTCACATAAACAAGAAGAAAAAAGACCAAGTAGAACGGCAGCACTCCATACAACAATGAATGGCCTCACTATATTCACCCATTCACATGCACATGAATACAAATCATTACCATCCTTAACCAACATTATCATTATAAGTGTCACATTTCCATATTAAACCACCAGCATCATCAACACAACTATTATCAGCATAAACTTCAATTATTCCACAGTTTAACACTCAAAACAGAAACACATCGGTGACTGACATTTGATCTGACTTCAAAAATAAAGGACCCCCTTAGATTACAATTTTCCCTTAACTTTAAAAAAAAAACACCTCCAATACCAGAAAGAAGATTATTGTTTCAAACTTTTTACTTTTAAAAAACATTTTTACTAACATCAGTTCCCATTCTACAGTTGATACAAATTTTTCCATTTCATCTCCTGAATAAAATGATGATACCTAGACTAGAGCACTAGATAGATAGAAGAGAGAAGGAGAGAGAGAGAACGAATAGCAGATTTGGCTACTTCACGGTAAACAAGTGCTTTTTTGTCTGATGCCTCTTTCTGCCCATTTCTCTCTGTTAGCTTGCTTCCTCTTTCCACACACTCCCACACAAAATCCTCTCAGAACGCTGGAGTCTGGCCACTACCTGACCAAGGCTTGTGTGTGCTAAGGTGAAAATCATCCTCTACTCACTGTAGCTCACTAGTCTTTCCACTACAGTCCTCTCCTCTGCCTTAACATCTGAATTTACAGCTCSTAATGAACCAGTCACTCATTGCAGGGTTTCCTCGTTCTCCTCCTCGTCTTCTTTGAAATAGAGACAAAAAAATCATCATCCAGGGATGGGCGATATGAACTATAAAATTTTTCACAATATTTTCTAGGTTTTATCACGATAACGATAAGTGACGATTATATATACAGTATATATAAAATCAGCTCAATCTTTTGTATTATAAATCCATCACTACATTCTCTTTTAAGAGCCCTAAATACTAGAAGCCACTAAACTACATAATAATAATAATAATAGTAATAATGCATTTTATTTATAGGTGCCTTTCAAAACTCCCAAGATCACTTTACAAAAGTCAATAATAAAATCACAATAGAACAATAAACACAATAAAAACCAATAAATCGATAAACAAAAGAAAATAGTGCAAGCTTAAATAATAAAAACAGTCTTAGTAAGCACTGTAAATTAATGGTAGTTATAAAAGTTCAAGTAGTACATGTGTTGCAAAACTGACATCCATCAAACAAGACTGAAATATGAGAATAAAATTGACATTTATTTATTTATTTGTTGACAGCAAAAATTATCAATAATAATAGACTATGGTTGATATGATAAATCTTAAAATCACATCCTCTTTGTACGTATCATTATTTTTATAAAACCTCAGAAGAACTCTAACCCTTGTAAAATATCAGTAATATAATAAAAAAAATAAAAATATAAGAAAAGACTTTTTACTAATAACTGAAAATAATGAGTTTTGCTGGTCTGGGAGGTAAAGCTACAATATCTGTTCCCTAAAGGGTTAATGTTCAGGGGAGGGAGGGGCTGTGTGAGCCACTCAGCTTGCACAGAGGAGAAGGAGGAGCTGTGTTTTTTTGTGGGTCCAGCAAATTTTAGCCGCCCTGTCCTGTTGTTTTTCTAGCATACTGTTGAACTCTAAAGAGTTTTTAGATGACTATGACTGCGTTTTTGCACGTTGAGAGTCATTGCGATAGCTTTTTAGCTTTACTATTTTAGCACATGCTCTGCGCGTCGACGTCCGCTCTGAATAAACAAACGAAGCTGGGAGGCATGTAAAGCCTGGCAGCACGCAGTGGGAATTCATCGTTTTTATCGCGAGCTGACAAATTTTTACCCTGGTGAATGTCTTTGACGATATATCGCACACCATAACATATCGCCCATCCCTATCATCCAACATCCATAAGCTTTCTGCTTACAGGTCAAACATTTTCTTTTAAATAGGAATATACTGTGTACATGACCTTATTAAAAGTTACAGTTTACTGTTCTTAGGACTGAAGACTTTATGAGGAAAGACGTTTTAAACAGCTCTTCTATCATTTTAGTGTTTTCAACTGAGGAGCTGCACTATATTTATTTGAAAAAAATATTGCAGAGGAAGTTCTCTGCACAGAAAAAAAAAATATTTTTACTGTTTTTTTTAACCAAACTGACAAGTTTCTCCACTAAAATTATTGTGTAGCCAATTTAAAGGCATTGAAACACCTGGTTAAATTTAGAAGATATTATGATTAACTACAAACACCTGAAGCTGACTCAGAGAACTCTGATTTTAGAAAAAAATAAGTCAAACATAGACACGTCTATAAAAGATGCCCCGCCCCGTGCAGCTGCAGTCCACTTGCACCTCCACTCCACCCGCATGTGATTAATACAGATTTTTTTGCGCAAAATTACTGTTTTTTGATGTGCATTATACAGGTAACTGTCTGAAGGGGTTCACATGTGGACTCTGAAGTCCAGGGCAGGTTGGAGCCGCGATGCGCGTGGAGTTGCAGCAGCTGCGGTCAAACTGCCTCTCAGCCCTCGCTTTAAAACCAGTCAGGTGATCTGTTGCGGTTTTGTTGTGCTCGTGAACACACAATGTTCTGGTGGAAATGCTGCGAGGTGCTTTTAGAAATTTAAATATATATATAAAATATGACGTAATCCTCGGTAGAAAATAGTCCAGGAAACGCCGAGGGTCTTCCTGGGAGGTGTTCACCTGAGCTGAGTGAAGCTGGCCCCCACCCACAGAGAAAGAAAAAAGGCAGTGCTGTCAGACAGACGGGACGACCCGCCCTGCTCTGTTCTGATTGGGTAAAACTTTGACTCTGGTTCTCTTTATTGGATGAAAGAACCGTCAGTTTAATCCCTAGACGGCTTTAACAATTTTTTTCTCTTGTTCATTTATACAATGACGAACACCCGCGGAGGAAAACTTTAATCGAGGACTTTTTTTCTTGGTTTTCCACCAGACAACCGGGAGGCGGGATCTGGTTGTCCGAAACGAAAATATGTTGTCTCGGCTCGGACAACCTAAACAATGATGTGTCAAGCCCTGTTTTACGTGGATTAAAAAAAAACTTCATTCCAAAAGTGTGGCAGATTTAGCCGTGGCAGTGCGCCACGATCAATTGCATGTAGGGAAAACCCTGCATTACTTCAGCTCCTTCAGGAAATAAAATGCTGTGTACTCACCTGCGCGGTCCGCCCTCTTCAAACGGAGGAATGATGACCACTTTCACTGTGACTGACGTCCTCAGCAGGTCAATCATCTGCTCGTGAGTCAGTGTCACAGCAGCCACCTTGCAGATCTCAACCAATCGACTGCCTTGCCTCAGTCCCGACTGCCAGGCGAAGCCATACTCCTCCACCTGAAAAACGTTAAATACAATTATATATTGATTTGGACATTTATAAACAAAGTAATACAGAAAGGGCTTGCTCATTTGATATTACCTCAGCTACAGTGCCATCTAGGCGAACGTGGAAGCCCAGCTGTCCCAGTCCGTTTCTTCTTAGAGTCATTTCCACCGTCGAACATCCAACTGTCAGCGACTGAACAGGGGAAACACAAGATGATTAATTTACTGCTTCACACCGATGATGAAACATGCACCTCCAAAACCCACTGGAATGAGTGTCAAATCAAGAAATATAAAAAACAAGTTGATCCGCACCCTAAACAGAAACCCTACTGCACAACTTATTGGTGACACTGCCCTGCTTCATATAAAGTCTAAGAACAGAGTCAAAAAACTCACACAAGAAACACCTGATGAAAAATTAATGGAAAGACATCAGTATTACATTCAGTATAGCATTGGTTGCAGATGACATTGTGATCTATGGCAAGAACAGGGAACAGGTAGAGGTGTGCCTGTGAAAGAATAGGAGTGAAAGTCAGCTGTAGCAAACAGAGATGGAGTACAAGTGTGTGAATGAGGAAGTGGCAGATGAAAGAGTGAAGCTACAAGGTAGGATTTCAAGTACTGAGGGTTGACTGTCCAGAGAACCGAGGAACGTGAGAGTCCAGAGAGTATGGAGAAATGTTTCAGGAGTAATTTGTGACAAATGTGTGGCAGCAAAGGTTAAAGGAAAGATTTACAAGAAAATAAGACCAGCTATGTTGTATGGTTTTGGAAAGCTGAAGATGTTGAGGTTCGTTCTTTGGGAGTGTCAAGGATGGATAAGATTAGGAATAAGATCATCAGAGGTCCAGCACAAGCTGACACTGAGATGGTCCAGACTGAGATGGTTCGGACATGTCCAGAGGAGGGACAGTGGGTGTATTGGTAGAAGGACGTTAGAGACGCAGCTGCCAGGACAAAGACAAAGAGGAGATATATAGAACATGGAGGTAGATGGAGTGAGGACAGAGTGAGATAGGAGGATGACTCATAGGGGTGCACCAAAAATTCGTTTTAAATCGGAATCGTGATTCTCATTTACAAAGATTCAGAATCGATTTAAAATGTCCCAAAATCGATTATATATATACAT